CTGCCTTGTATAAGTCTGTGGCCCCAGACCCTGGGATCCCAGAGCATGGGATCTGATGGATGTGGAATGTGTGAGCAGGCGCAGGCACTCACAACCACACCAACTTAGCAAGAGAGGAAAATCTGAGAGGAGCATGAATTCAGTGGTCACTTCTGGCTAGTGGGATTTCTTAGGTGCATGGGAATAACTTTGGGCAAGAGGTTTATTTGCTTAATCTCTTTAATCCAGCCTCAGCTCTTGCCCCCACTGGGCCGCCGACGGAGCTGGTTACGTCAGCAGTCACCGCCAGGAGCTTCATGGTTAACTGGACTCAAGCCCCAGGCAACGTGCAGAAATACAGGGTCGTGTATTATCCCACCAGAGGGGGAAAACCGGAAGAGGTAACAGCAGACAGAATTCATAAACTACTTCTTATTCCCTTGATATCTTCCACGGCAGTGAGAACAGGACAGGAGTATGTGCACAGCAGGCTGTGCTATCGTAAATACTTCAAATAATTTGACCAAAATCCATTTCAATGCTTCTATATTACTTTTCTGTCTCTCTGAGCTATAGTATTTATAATCTTACATCTCCCCCCACCCCCAAATAACTGTCAGAACTAGTCAGGTCTACATTTCTAACTTATATTGCTTCTTCAACCTAGTGAGTTATAAAGAAAAGGTTAGCAGTAGTTAATTATCTGGCAGAAGCTCCTTTATGGAATCGTCCTGCTCTTTTCTTTAAAACTCAGAATAGCCCGAGACTTCTGCTTCAGTGAAGTCTGGGAATTGCAAATCCTGCGGTGATGTAATGGACCGGTGCCGCAGGATTTGATGTTTCCCTGTAGAGATAGATGCTGGTGACAAGCCGCGGGGACACCGCCAGCACTTTTCATGGTTAGAAGAGAACACCCGTCGCCAGAGGACTGGCTTCTTTCCCCTCCTATCTTTGATTCAGCTATTCACAGATAATAAATTAAAACGTAGTGAAATCCCCATTTCCCTCTGTTGTGCTAACCTCGTACCGACCTCCATCTGTTTCACAATTTCCTTTTGTACAAGATGGCAGATTTCGTGAGTTTTTTCAAATGTTAGAGAAATAGATCATGAAGTCTTGTGTGTCTCTAGATGACTTTTTTTTTTTCAAATGATTAAAAAAAACCCTTTTACATGTTTCCCAGTGTCTCATGGAAACAAACATGTTTGGTGTTGATTAAGTGCAGAGGATAGATAATGCTTAGCCCGGGAGGGCGCAATTTTCGATAAACATGAATAATAAGTGACTTTAGACACAGTGCATAAAAGATGCATTACTTAGTGTGGGAATGCGAGGGTCACTGGTTGCTGCGATGGAAGGGGAGGTATGATGCCCATGGTAACGTATGTAGTGCAGTGGTCTTGCGGGAGATACTTGTGCTTCTGTTATAATTCTGCGTGTGTGATGTCGCTTACTCTTCCCACTCTTTAAACAGGTGGTGGTGGACAGAAGTGTGACTTCCCTTGTGCTGAAGAACTTGATGTCTTTGACTGAATACCAGATAGCAGTCTTTGCAGTCTACGCCCACACTGCCAGCGAAGGCCTGCGGGGGACGGAAACTACGCGTACGTAATCTCTCTGCACCGTTCCTCTGTGGACTGGACCTGCTCCATGGCTCCGTGGACGCCCTGTCTTGACTTCTAAGGATGACAGGCGTTCTCCATACGCTGCTGGATGCACACTTGGCAGCAGCCTGCCCCGTGGGCTTTTAGTCTAGTAGAGGAAACCAAAGCTACGTAACCGTTAATGTCGTGAAGGACTGTAGAAACACGTGCCTCAAAGCTCAGAACTTGAAGTAAACAGGGCCACATTATGAAGGCCCTAGAAGTATACCTGAAGACACTTCATGGTTTTCACCAGCTTAGTCAGCCAGGAACTTGGATTAACCCTAGTCCCTTTCCTCCTATCCTTCAAATACGGTAAATCTTAGTTTCTACTCCCTTTTGCAAGGACATTTCTCTGTGGCTGAATGTGGAAACACGTCTCTTGCAGTGGCGCTGCCCATGGCTTCCGACCTGGAACTGTACGATGTGACTGAGAGCAGCCTGCGCGTCAAGTGGGACCCCGTGCCGGGGGCCACAGGGTACCTGGTCCTCTATGCACCACTCACAGAGGGCGTGGCGGGGGACGAGAAGGAGGTGAGTCGTGCGCCTGCGGCAGAGCTGGGAGCCCAGACCTGAGGATGATGTTTCCGTGCCAAAATCTAATGTGTGAAATTTAGATATGTCTGATGGGGGAAAAGAAAAAAAAAA